TGTGTGTGTGAGTGTGTGTGAGTGTGAGTGTGAGTGTGTGTGTGCGTGTGTGTGTGAGTGTGTGTGTGTGTGTGTGTCCTCACACAGTTTTCCTATAAGCCTTTGCCAGTGCAGGCCCGGGACTTTACAGCAATCGCTGTGAGCTTCAGGCATGTCCTCTGTCATGAGTTTAAAAATATGCAGATTTTGTTGGATTTAGTAAATCATATTGTTTACATAACATTGTTTATGTTTCATTTCTAGTTTGATTAATTTGATTAGACTGGCTGGATTAATGAAAGTGTTTTTAATTGATCCTTACTGAGAGCAGCCAGAATGAAACATCATGATATAAATCACATTTTCAGTGAAATCTTGCAGGCAACATCCACTCCTTTGGACTGTATTTCCACGCTGAACAACACAAAGCATTTACACCTGTGAAATGTTGCCTAAATTTCATTAAACATCAGTGGATTTTATCGATCAAACTTGTGCTGATTAGCTTTCGACCTTCATGCATCAGTAAATGAAGCAAAGATGGAGAGATTGAGGATGGATTTATCGCGCAGATCTTGCTCTGTCTCCATCATGTTCTGCAGTTTCCATTTCACTTTCAGAGGAACTCAAAGCCATCAGAGACCTCGGGATGCTTCTTATCCTCTTTTCTGTTGTGTTCTGTGGCTGTCGTTGTATATTTGAGAATATGGTCATTCAGAAATACTGCATGTGTGCTGGATTGTCATGATGACAGGAATTGGTGTTTCGACTCGTGATAGCACTATTGTGTTACTGCACTGGTTAGTTGTGTGGCGGCTGACAGACGGACTCAGAAACAGCTGACAGTGAACCGTGACTCAGTGTGTCCTCATCAGCCCGGGAACAACACTTTCAGTCGCTGGTTGGGTTCAGTCACGGAACTCATGTCATAGTTATATTTCTGGACTAATGTTCCTGAAAGAGTCTCTTCTGCTCACCAAGGCTGTGTTTATTTGATCAGAAATACAATAAAAAATGTGAAATATTACAGTTTAAAACAGCTGTTTTCTATGTGAATCTCTGTTAAACTGTAATGTATTTCTGTGATGCGCAGCTGTATTTTCAGCATCATTACTCCAGTCTTCAGTGTCACATGATCTTCAGAAATCATTCTAATCTTTATTTCTCACAGTGTGACTATATATATCGTGCAAAACTTCATCTCAGAATTAGCCGTTTTATTTTTTCTCTGAAGAAACGAGTAAACGCCAGCAACTTGTGCTCCTGGCCTGTCAGTATGAAGCGTTTATTCGTCTCTCGCGCTTGTGCACATATGGTTTGTTTTCATTCTGAATCATATTTGCTTTAATAAGTGGAAAAACGCAGTAATTACTGACTCTTTGAAGACGAGTGGTTGTTGTAAATTCATCTTTTGCTGCTTCACTTGTTGCCATGCAGTATGCAGAGCACATGTGAGGATTTCTCCTGACCTTTGACCCAGTGATATCGAAACGAGCTTCAGGAGCCGTCTTGATTTAATACCAGTTGTGCATGAAAGACACACATGAGAGAAATATTGCCATTGCTCTCAGTCTGAATCTTTGTCATTAACTCATTAAGCGTCGTCCTGAGCTGAAGATCTCGAGGGACGACTCCAGTCCTGCAGTCTTCTGATGCACACTCACAGCTCAGATGGCATCAGGATGAAGGCGTGAGTGTGTCTGAGGAACAAGAGAAACTAGCGCGTGATGAATCCCCAGAGAGCCACTGACCGCATGACAGCACCCTGCTGCAGGGCACTAGAGGAGTCTGGGAGTGTCCGGCCTCAGCGTGACTCTGTTTAACATCCCTACTGAAGAACAGAAAATACGTGGACTAGTTCTTATTTAGTCCAAGAGTAAGTGTTCATTTTTAAGACATACTGGGTAAAGTCTTTCGGAATTCAGAGTAAGACTGATCAACACTACACTACTGTTTTCCAGTGCAGGAAATATATAAAGAACATATATAAATCAAAATACTTCTTTACAGAATATACCTTGAATTAAGTTGGTATTGGTATATATATATATATTTAATGCTTTAATCATTAATCTATAATATATAGTTTTATAAATTGTATTAATTATTGATTTATTTACATTTTTATAATGAATATATATATATAATGAATAAGAAAGTAGTATTGGAGTTTCAGCATCAGAGATCAGGCTCTGAGTTTTGAGCGTGTGTCTGTCAGGACTGATCAGAGAAGTGCGCACCTGTTCATGTTTTCTGTCATCATCATGTGTCTGTACACCTGGCTTTGACCTCTGACCTTTGAGAGGCTCGTGTTTCTGTCTAGAGAGAGGCTGCTGAAGGGAGCTCTTTATGCTCAGAAATCTGCATCCGTCGCTGAAATGGATGTACTTTCATTTTGTAACTCGGCTGCAGGACACACATTTCAGGGTTTGCCGCTGGACTGTGAGCTTTACACTAGAAAACAGAGAACATCCGCAGCGTTAAACTGCTGTTTACAGTCACATGTGAGAGTTGTAGGGGTCACGCTCACTTAACTTTTGCCAAATGAGTTTGTAATTGCTGCTATGGTTTGCCCATATTTGTTGTTGAAGTGTTTCTAATGCCCTGAAGCCTTTGCTGCACTGTAGTCCAGATCGGTCAGACGTCCCAGCGTTTGCTGGAGTCTTATATCATTACAAGCATCTCAGCAGATCCTCAGACTCTTTCATCTTAATGACCTCTATCTTCTAACGCAGCAGAACTAACAGGAACAAACAACTCGCTCAAAGTGATTTGTGAGTTTGTACTCCCATGTGACTTGTTACCGTTAAATTACACAAACCATGTTCTCATCTGGCCAACACAGCTTGAGCAGCGTAGGTCTTCCTCAAAGGATTCACTGATTCAGAACATGAGTGCAGAGGAGGTTTGTTCTGATTCAGCTGGAGCCGATCGCTGAGTGAAGGAGCTATGAGTGTTAATACAGGTCTGAAGCTACGAAGCCTGCCTGGTTCGTGTGAGATCAAGTTAAAATAAGAAGTAACATTATGAGATCACTTGGTAAAGTTACAGTTGCAAGACCTAAATTCACACTGGGAGATATAAAGTAGCAATTATGAGAAAAAATTGCAATTGCAAAATATATACTCACACTACTACATACATATAGTCACGATTACGAGAAAAGCTGCAGTTGTGAAATATATATAGTCCCCTAATGAGATATAAAGTTGCAGTTATGAAAAAAGAATCCATCTCTTTCTAGCCCATTGAAGATTTTTTTCTTAGTTTACAATTTGCTGTCCATTATTATTAAAGAAGACGGAGTTTTCCCAACACTTCCGGT